GGGGGGAGAGGAGAGAGGAGAGGAGAGAGAGGAGAGAGAAGGAGAGGAGAGGAGAGAGAGGAGAGAGAAGGAGAGGAGAGGAGAGGGGGGAGAGGAGGAGAGAGAAGAGAGAAGGAGAGGAGGGAGGAGAGGGGAGGAGAGGGGGGAGAGGAGAGAGGAGGAGAGAGAAGAGAGGAGGAGAGGAGGGAGGAGAGGGGAGGAGAGGGGGGAGAGGAGAGAGGAGGAGAGAGAAGAGAGGAGGAGAGGAGAGAGGAGAGGGGAGGAGAGGAGATTGGTAACACTTGTGGACACTTGGAAACAAGTTGTATGAATAGATTCCATTGTTTGCCATTTTTTTCATCTTTTGTCTTTTTAATGATTGATGTCATTGTAACTGTTATTCTAAAGACATGTTCTAGTTCTAGATCTAGCTCTCTACTTCTAGTCATCATGGCTCTGGAGGCCACAGAGAGAAAAATGTGACAGGAGCAAAAAACGCCAAAACTGCTTTGGGGTTCAGAGGGTTAATAGAAACGAGCGTCAATCTTAAAACGAGACGAACTTTACATGTGTTCCTCTAAAAAGAAACAGTTTGATTTGTATTGAAACAGGTTGAAATGACAACTAGCTATGAGTGAATAAGACTTTGAGGATTTGAAAGGATAACTGTGGTGATATACTGGTGAAGATACTTTTTTTGGTCATTGTAGTTTTTAGCAAACGCTTCTCCAACAGGAGGAAATAGTGCATTCGTTGGGGACTATTTTCAGTGGCGGATGAATCCACACGTGGTGCTCTGGTGAGTGTTTGTACTGCAGTGAGGCTCACTCATGTGTTTTCAATGGAGTAGAGGAAGAAGAGATATCAGACAATACTTGTTTTTACTTCATAGAACAGCACCAGACTTTCCCTCTAATAAAAGGAGAACACGATGCTTCTTTTGCAGTGTGCAGCACTGTTCATTCCAGCAACATGACGTCACGTCTGCTGAGTGCTCCCTCCTTTCAAACGGTCGCATTCCAGACTCTTACATCGCAATAATGCAGCACGCTACTCTGTGAGCAACCACCTGATGAATGAGAGCAGCACACGTGTGTGTGCGTGTGCATACTTTGACAACCCTGCTTTTAAGGAATATTACGCAACATCATCAACAGCATGTTTTCAATCCTACTAATCACTTTATAGTTCATGTTTATGTATTTTATATATAATACTAGTGTTTTAGAAGTTGGAATGTTTCCTGGATGTTTCTATCGATCACTTAGTGATTTTTTAATTAATAAGCTTCAATAAATAAATAATAAAAAGTCTGTGATGTGATCTGGGGGTCTGGGTGTCATGACAACAGGACTCCAGCAGACAGCAGCCCGTTCGTGCTGCTGAGGGCCGAAGAAGAGCTCGACTCTCGAACAGTACGAGTGTGTGTGAGAGGGGGACAGCAGGGACTTTCCCAGCCCCCACACACACACACACACACACACACACAGGAGTCAGGGTGTGTGTGTGATAGCAGATAGCAGTTCTCCATGACGCCGCCTGCAGACGACAGCGGCATGCGACTCTGCTTCATCTCAGTAGCACACACTCCAGGGACACACACACACACACACACACACACACACACACACACACACACACACACGCACACAATAAACCTGAAAACAACTACACTACTGCTCTACGGCTCAATGGGAGGGAGGGACACAGTGAAAGTGGGGTGAGGAAAGGGAGAAATTTGAGAGGGAAGTAAAGACGGAAGATATAACTGAAGAAAGAAAAGAGAACAAAGAGGAAGTTGAGATGTGCTGAGTTCATTTGAAGTGTATTGTGTTATTCTCCTACACAGTAAATAAACCAAACAACATAATATTCTGTTCAAATGGAAATCTATGTTTTTAGTAAAAGACTATAACAGCAATGGAATGATTTTTCACACAATAAGACGGAGAGAGTTAGAAAATAAAAGAGTTAGGAAAAAAGAAGGCAAGGAGGGAAGGATGAGGTGAGTGAAATAGAGGGTGGTAGGACACAGGAAGAGAAGAAACCATGAGGAGACAAGGGAATGAGAGAAGAGGTAAATAAATAGTTAGGGGGGAAGAGGGGAAGAGGGCGAGGAAGAAAGGAAGGGGTAAATAAAGTATAGGGTGGTAGGAAGCAGAAAAGAGAACAAGACAAGGGGTAAGGGAGGTAGTGAAGGAAGAAGGGATGGAGAAAAAAAAATTAGGAATCAAGAAGGAAGGAGAGTAAGACGGAAAGGAGGAGGTAAGAAAGACAGAGAGGGGAAGAATTCCCAGCAGGTATCTGACCATCTGAGAGCTTTTTATAGCAATATTATACAATTATTGTGTTCATATTCTTATTAATATTATTGTTACTTATTATTTTGATGCTTTTCATGCTAATAAAGCCACATCGAGTTGAACTGGAGGTGAGTTTCTGTGACCGTGTGTGTGTGTGTGTGTGTGTTTGTGTGTGTTTACACTTCATTCCACTGGATCCACAGACGCAGATATCTCCAGCATTTTAGTGCGTCTCTAATCGACCACAGACGCATTCCTGTTTGAAGGTTTGAGGGCTGCAGCGATAAATTGTAGAAATATATTGTGACATAAAAACGTGATAGAATGCAGCATGTTAAATGAGTCTTAAAGGGCCGGTGTTCTCAGTTACTTCTCGTGGTAACGAGATGGTTTCTATCTACCAAAAGTACAACGGAGCTAAATGAAAGTTAGGTTTCATGAAACAACATCGTGCTGTAACAGAGTCCTGGTTAGAGCTCGTATCAGCAGAACTAAAGAAACGGAGCAAATAGAACTTCTGCAGATCATAAATGAGCGTTTTTATGATGTATTACAAGCTTCTTTGAGCTGTTAGGAAGTCAAACCGGTTGAATTCTATCCAATATCTATTTCATACTGCGGGACAAACAAGTGGATTTATGGAAGTTTCTCACCAATAACGTTAAAAAACTCTTTTGGGAATCCTTCCTCCAGAGAAATAGTCCCTTTAGGAGCCGCTATTCAGAGGAACTGAGACGCTTCTATGTTCATGCAGAGAGATCCCATTCACCTCCATGTTGTTGTTATGGAGACAAGATAAACCTCAAAACCTGGACAAAAAAAACAAAACTATCCACATGGATGATCACAAATATGTGTGTTGATGTTTTGGAATTTAGGTGAACTGACCTTTAAAATATTCTCCAAATCTCTCAAATAACTTAATATCGCCAAGAGGACATTCTCATATCTGCTTCATTGTTTTTGCTTTAAGTATTTGATTTTTAAACTAAAACCTAAAAGAAGAATGTTGAGCTTAACTACTAAAAATAAAGAGAATTTAAGTTAGTTTTCATTCCAACATTGTTAAATCTCCTCTCTGTAACTTGTTGAAGCGTGAGATGGCTGTATCATAATACTGTTTATGTGTGTGTGTGTGTGTGTGTGTGGTGTGTGTGTGATGTCTCCTATTACGCGAGGCCGGGCGTGGGAATGTGTGGAATGCTGGGTGACGTCAATGGTGACATTCCCGGAGCCCCGAGTCCCGGGACAACAGCTGAGGACGACAGATCCAAGAGAGGAAGAGGAGGAGGAGGAGGAGGAGGAGGAGGAGGAGGAGGAGGAGGAGGAGGAGGGAAGATAGAAAAGGAGAAGATAGGAGACGATAGGAGACAATGGTTGACAACGAAAAATGGAATTGGATGAGAGAGGAGGAAGAAGACATAGAGGGAAGGATGGAAAAAGACAGCTTGAGGAAAGGAAGTAATGTGGATCCTCACAGAAGAAAAGAAAATAAAGTGAGAGAGGAAAAAGAGTTAAAGGGCGAAGGAAAAGGAGAGAGGAGGAGGCAGAGAGAGATAGAAGATAAAGGAGACAGAGGGGAGGAAGGGAGGAGGGGAGCAGGCGGCCGGGTGGATCCGATCACCTGAGCTGCTTTCTGGGAAGAAGAGGTTTCATGTTTCGACACACGGAGGAGCCGTGACTTTGATACAACGAGCTGCCGGGATCCTGACAGGAACAGTCGATACGCAGACGATACTCTACTGTCTGACGGTCGCCTCCACCGTGGAGAGAAACAGGGTCTACTCAGGAACTCCTCAGTCAGTTTGGCGAAGAGATGATTCATTTATTTTAAACGGATGTGTCACAATGCAGCCAAAGACTCTTGAGCCACAGGAGGGACATAGGTTTCAACTTTGTCAAAACAGCAACATTCCCATTTTAATTGAATTCTATATTGAGATCAAACAAGTCCAAGCTATGCGCTGATTGAATAAGCCTCATCGGCAGCCTCATAGACGGAGGTCAGAAGAGGCCTGCTACACCTACTGGCCGGTTTCAGAAGACTGCTATCATCTAATCACACAGCTGATCATCGATACTCCTCTGGAGTCCGTAGTAATTATGACGCAGCAAAGGAGGAAGTCAGGTGACGTAGAATAAAGAGCAAGTAAAACAAACAGGACTGAAAAACAAAAGTCAGCATTGACCTATTTTATGTTACGTACTTAAAGGAGCAGTGTGGGGGATTTAATGGCAGAAATGGAATTTAATATTAATAACTATGTTTTTATTAGTGTACGATCACTTGAAACTAAGTATCGTTGTGTTTTTTTTGTGAGCCAGTTATACAGTATCTTTATAGTGAGGAGGTCCTCTTAACGGAGTCCGCCATGTTTCTACAGAAGCCCAGAACTTACAGAACCAAAAACCTGCTCTAGCAAGAACCTTTTGTGTTTTTACCAGGAGGCAACCTCCACGTCTGGAAAGTGAAGCCAATGCTCGAGTGTCTCAAAGCTGCATTCTGCAGAGGGGTTTTCAGTTGGTTGCAGTTTGCAACCTCACCACTAGATGCCACTAAATCCGAAAGGATCTTTTCCTAAACCTCATTAAGTAGTTTGTTTGCTGTTTCACTTTAACAATGTGGTAGCTGCAGTGTGGCCCAGCTTACGCATTAGAATAGTAGTAAAAAGCAGCTGATGAAGCCCCTCTTATTGGCTGATAACATTGCAACATTGAAAGCCAATCATAACTTTTTATTTGGAGCGAAAAACTGAGGAGTTATTCAAAACTTCACTGTCATCTACCTTTTTAACATACAAGAATAAATACCTCAATGATATCTGGGGAACGGCTGTGAGGTAGACACTGAAAGCTGGAACCCTCACAAAACAATCAAACGCACTTTATATTTACTCTTCTATTGTGGTTGCAATACCATAAGTTCCAAAAGTAGTGATTTAATCCTGTAATATTGCAACGCAGTTCCTCCTTTTGAACAACCGAACATAACTGGTCCTTTCAACAACACTGGCGCATTAATCGAGGCCAACTTCTGAGAGCTGCGCGTCACAGAGCGAGTCTACTCTTTCATTAATAGCCTTGGAAAACTATTACCGATATTGAAACTCTGCGTTTGGCGTATATTCCATTTGATGCAGTGCAGTTAATACAAACGTATTGATTTCCTTTGGCCCACCTTACCCTGAGACAATATGTTTATTGAGTGAGTAGAGAGAGAAGAAAAAACCAGCTTCCCACCATATCTATTACAACAGGCTGGCTGGCGGTATCTGTCCCGGCTAATGGGATTTAAGGGGAGAGCTCTGGCCAGTGTCAAAGTCACCTCTGAGGAGAGTCCTGTGCCAAGACGAGGGACAGTTGGACGATGGGGGCGGTAGATTATTCCAGAGAGAAGACGAGGGGGAACAGCTGAGAGAGACAGGATGAAAGGGGGAGGGTGGGGGGGAGTAGAGGGAGGGGAGGAGCTGTGGGTGGAGAGGGGAAAGAGTATGAAGCTGAGGAGCAGACTGCTGTCAGGGTCCCAGGGTTTTTAATTTGGTGCCATTGTTACAGTAAAACTAACGCCTGGCGGCTACTTACACCAACTGGTTCCAGTTGGAGACGTGAAAGTTTTGACACCAATCGACCAATGGCAGCTTGGTGGGCCGGATTAAGAATGGCGACGTCATCCTCATGCACACATAGCTGGTTTCTCCAAACAGTTTTCGTTATTTCACATGAAAAAGTTCAGTATTTTAGTTTCTCTCTGTGCTCCTCTCATTGGTTTGAAGTGGGCGGGGCTCCTTTAGAAACAGGCAATGTCACAAACCACCAACAGACCAATCAGGATTTATCTTGCAGGGTCCTTAAGTTACAACACAGTCTCACGACAGTTCGTGAAATAGTCACACACTGCAATCTATTGGTTTCCTTTACAGGGACAGAATTTTTGTGTCGCTCGGAATGACTTTCTTTTCCAGGACGACATTATCTTAAGAATGAAAGTTAAAAAAACACAAAATTATGTTTAGCAAAACTGTCGCAAACGTTAGGTTGAGGCAACAAAAATATCGTAGTTAGGTTGAGGCAATAAAACAAACGTTGGGTTTAGGCAACAATACTTTGTAGTTAGGTTTAGGAAAACTGTCCCAAACACTAGGTTTAGGCAAAAAAACAAACATTAGGATTAACTAACAAAGGCACGTAATTAAGTTTAGGAAAACTGTCGCGAACAGTGAGGTTTAGGCAACAGAAGCACAACCATGAAACCACGACGCCGTGTGGAGCACCGCTCTTGTGGTCCCGTCCTGCCAGCCAAAAGTGGACTTTGATATTTAACACGACTTCATTTGCTCTTACTGTTACATGCATTTCATTTGTGTGTCCACCACCAAACATGATCCCAAATTACTCTTCATTGGCAATATTTTCATCCTGAGCGACACGCAAAAACAATTAGTGTCCATGTACATGAAAGCAATAGAGTGCATTGGTGGCCTGCCATGATACTGGGCTAACTCCTCCAGCAACTGCAACACACAACTAAGTAACACCGCTTGCATAACAAGAGATCAACTAACATGACAACATATCCTCAGACAACGGTTCGTATGATATATTACAATCAACGCCTTCGGTCAGTGACTCTGCGTAAGGCCCTGTGGTAACAAAAGCAACTAAACTACTTGGTCAGGTCCAGGATGAGATGCTGGTTTGGGTTAAGATAACTTGTGTTATGGCGTTAGTACAGAAGTTACGGAACAAACGAGTCAACGTTTTCCTCTGGTTTCACACAGGACACTAACAGAGGCCTCCTGGGTGAAAGTCCTGTGTTTTGACTATTCGTAGGTAAACAAACAGTGTCTGAGAACAGCCTGAACATGAACAGGAAGTCCGCCTGCATTAATGGACTATTAGGCTTACTATCAGCTGTTGGACGGCTGAAATCAGTTCCACATTTTCGTATCTTACGCGGGGCTGTTCACTCATATCACAGGAATGCATCCAGTACTTTCCACCATAACAGTAGTAATCCCAACCAGGAGCTGTTGTCACGTACCAGCCGACAGACACCACGTCAACAATATCATCACAGTTTAAGATACTCAACTCAGTTCTGGTTTCTGGAAACAACACAAAGACAAGAGCAGCTGTAAAGCTTCCAGAAGACTTTATGTAACTTTCAGTTCCTCTTTTCAAACACTCTGTTCCCTCTCGAAGCTGAAACTCGTCCTGTTCTCTGGATTGTTTACGGGCAGATCGTCCCGCAACCCCCTCAGCTGTCGCCAGTCAACAGGTGTTTTGGTGCTTGTGTGTTTGTGTCAGTGTGTGAGCTGTGCACATGTGACCGCCTGTTGCCACACAGGAAAACATTCTGCGTCTGCAAGCCAGACTCAGTCAAATGATTTCCCTTTTAGTAAGTGCAGCTAAGACACAGACCGCAGGGTGGGTGATACACTGTAGAGTGTGTGTGTGTGTGAATAATAAACTAAATTATTCTGAAGGAACGTAGGCTACTTACGGACGGGACTCGGGCACGCTCCGTTTGAGTTCCCCAGATCTCCCAACAGAGCACCTGCAACAGAAGAACACACCACGGCCGTCACATGTAACACCGTTCATTCTATTTAATATCAAAACCCATAATCTGAACAGAGCTAATATAAAAAATGCTGCACATCCCGTTTTTTTGAAAAATATCATTAAATCAAGTGTATGAAGTGCTTCCGCTATCAGCTCTCACTTCACTTAGCGGAGGATCATAATTGGTATCAATTGGGCATTAACATTTGATTTATAAGTGCCGGTTTCACCAGTTCTCAACAGTACTTATGTCTTATTGGGAGGAGAAGAAAAACATCATCGCACTTATTTTAATTGACGAGAATTACCGCCTCGGGAGTGTATCCCTCCGCCGACCAGTCAAGTTACAGTTTACATCCATGTCCAAAATATCAACCCTTCATCATTTCATCTGTCTGTATATAAATGTGTGACATTTTCATAATTAGCATGAGAATGCTTAAGTTATGGTGTTGAGTGAGGTCACAGTAACTCTCCAGGTGTTCCTGAGATATCACGAGAACGGACAGAAATGACGGACCGACGGAGACATGAAGAACATGTTTCTATTGTACTAGAACACGACTATTGTGATTCTGTGTGTACAAAAACATCAAATAACATACATGAATATACATACATACATATACATACATACATACATATATACACATATACACACACATACATACATATATATACATACATA